GTTACCCAGCATGCTGTTGGCATTGTTGTAAACAAACAAGTTAAGGGCAAGATTCTTGCCAAGAGGATTGTTCCTATTGAGCATATTAAGCACTCTAAGAGCCGAGATAGCTTCCTGAAAGGTGTGAAGGAAAACGATCAGAAAAAGAAGGAAGTCAAAGAGAAAGGTACCTGGGTTCAACTGAAGTGCCAGCTCTACCCAGAGAAGCCCACTTTGTGAGAACCAATGGAAAGGAGCCTGAGCTCCTGGAACCCATTCCCTATGAATTCATGGCATAATTAAGCATGTGACTTAGCACACAGGAGTACCAGTGGACCCATGTTTTTAGGTGCAAGAACCTATTTATTCCCCATGAACTCATGGCATAATAGATGTATAGCATAGCACACAGGATAACCAATAGACCCCATGTAACAGTTATACAAGGTGCTGGAACCTATTTCCCATGAATTCAAAAGTCAATGAATGCTTTGTCACATTCAACAGCAAGGTGCCTCCCTGAGCTACTGAAACCTCTTCCCTATGAATTCATGGTATGGTAGATAAAAATAATAGCCTACTGCTACTGTAAAAATGTTTCTTGTTCATTCACTGAAAGTGTAATTTTTTTTTCCCCAAAGAGGTATTAAAGCAAAATTTAATGTGACAATTAAAATAAAAAATAATAAAATAAAATAATAAGATATGAAAAATGATCCCACATCCTGAAGAGAGGCTCTAAACATGCTTTTGAAAGCTTTCTAGTAGAGACCAGAGAGACCAGAACTCGTGCTTCAAATATTAGCTCTTATTGTTCCCCTACAGACAGTAACAGACAGTAACTGAGAAAAGGATTGGAAAGGGTGTGAGGGCCAGAGTCATACCTAGTCTATTTTATACCCAGAGCAGATCACTTTTAACTCCTTCTCCTCTATACATTATTATTTGTAATTGTTATGAAATTAAACTAAACCCAATGTCAAAGGCATTAGATATTTCGAAACAGATCCAGCCACCGTTTTAATGACCTATTTCATTTTATTTTTTTGTTATGCTCCACCAGGTCAACGTCTTTCCTGTTTGTTAGTCAGTGCCCCTCTTCAAACTAATCCCTTCTGTAAAAGGATTTTGCCTATGTAATTATGGTCCCAAATCAGTTGACCTTAAGAAAGGGATATTGGCTCAGCACCCGTAGCTCAGTGAGTAGGGCACCAGCCACATACACTGAGGCTAGCAGGTTCCAGCCCAGCTGGGCCTGCTAAGCCCAAGAGCTGGAGGTTGCTGTGAGCTGTAATGCCACTGGACTCTACTGAGGGTGACATAGTGAAACTCTGTCTCAAAAAAGAAAAAAAGAAAGTTTTATCCTGGCCAGGAGTTGGAGACCAGCCTAGGGAACATAGTAACACCTCATCTCTACAAGAAATTTTTTAAAAATTAATTTTTAGGTTTGGGCCTGTGGCTCAAGTGGCTAAGGCGCCAGCCACATACACTTAAGGTGGCGGGTTTGAATCCAGCCCGGGCCCGCCAAACAACAATGATGGCTGCAACCAAAAAATAGCCAGGCATTGTGGCGGGCACCTGTGGTCCCAGCTACTTGGGAGGTGGACGCAGGAAACTCGCTTGAGCCCAGGTTGCTGTGAGCTGTGATGCTATGGCACTCTATCCAGGGGGACAGCTTGAGGCTCTGTCTCAAAAAAAAAAAATTAATTTCTAAAAAGAAAAGGACATTATGTGAGTGGGCCTGCCCTAATTTATGTAAGTCCTTTAAAAGCAGAGTTCCTCTAGCTGGTGGAAAAAACCACTAGGAAGAAATGCAACTTGATACCCAACACATTGATTTCAGCCTTGTGAGACACTAAGCAGCAAACCCAACCACACTGTGCCCAGACTTCTAACCTAGAGATCTGTGAGCTAATAAATGGGTCACAAGTTCATGATAGATAACTCTATATGGCAATACAACATTAATATATACTTATGCCCTGCACCCAGGTGGATCACTCCCTGGTACCCACCAGTAAGAGGCCTTAGGGGAGGTTATGGTGATTTTCCTTTCCCATCCCTCCCTTGCAAGAGGTAAATAAGCAGGCCATGCTCTGTTCCACACCTCAGGATTGAGGCCAATAAGGTATTATAGCTCTGCCTGACCCTGGCTGCGATCTCATTCCCTGATGGGCCCCATAGAAGTCTCTGCCCTCTTTGGTGCACAGTCTTGAGAATCTCTACCCTGCTAAAGCCCCACACGTTCTTTCATCAGTCCATAGTGCTAGATGTCCAGGCAGTTTCTGGGTTTTGTTTAGTTTTGTTGAGAGACAAGAATCCCACTTTGTCGCCCGCAGTAGAGTGTAGTGGCATCACAGCTCACAGCAACCTCAAATTTTTGGGCTCAAGCAATTCTCTTGCCTCAGCCTCCCAAGTAGCTGGGACTACAGTTGCCTGCTACAACGCCCAGCTATTTTTTTGGTGCAGTTGTCATTGTTGTTTAGCTGGCCTGGGCCAGGTTCGAACCGCCAGCCTCGGTGTTCGTGTGGCTGGTGCCGCAACCATGGTGCTATGGGCGCCAACCCCAGTTTCTGCGTTTTTAAAATATTGCAGACAAGGCTATAATCAATATCTATGTACACAAAACTCTGTCTGGAATTTGGATAGTTCTCTTACAATAAGGAATGCTGAGTCAGGAGGGATGGACAATTTTAAAATTCCTTATACATACTCACTGCTATTTTCTAGAAAGGCTCTCCTGTTCTACCATCCCGACAGAAAAGTATGATACCTAAGGTAATGTGAGCTAAGCTGAAGCAATGGAGATTTTCTCTCAAGGAATTTCAGAGGAAGAACCTACTTCTTTTTACCCTTAAACTTTCTATTTTTGATGACCTGCCTTCATTCCCAAGCATCCAGTCACCCCCTGGGAATTTCTACCTAGATACCACAAAGGCACCCAAATTTAACGTGTCTGAATCCATCACTATGACCGACACCACAGTGGCAATTACAACCGTGGCGACCAGATTAACCTAGGGCACAACAGGCAGAGATGACAAGGGGAACAGAAAAGGGGCTACTGCAGGGGCCACACGTCCTTCTAGGCACAGTTAAGTTCGGGACAGTCCAATGGAGATACGCAGCAGCGCCCGCGAACCAACACACAGAACAAAAGGGTGACGAATATGTGTCACGAAGCTTTGCCTAGCAGGGGATGCCCAGAAAATTGGCATCGGCCGCTAGCAGACGAGCCGGGTTTCAGCGCGGGTGAAGTGGCGGATGCGCACTTCTTGCCTGGAGGGAGAGCCACGCAGCCGCCGTAGGCCAGCAGGAGGGTTGGCCTTTCTGCGCACGCGTCCTCGGTGTAGGCGCGCAGGGGAGGGCAGGGGAGGGGGTGAACCCGGTTCTCGCGCATGCGTACGCTGCACAAACTATTTGGCGGGTTTTTGCGGGCTACTGCGTTCTATCGCGGTCGCTGAGAAGCTCAGCGGTAACTTTTGGGAAGCTGAACGTGCTTCCGAGGAGAGGACCTGTTGTTATTTCTGCCCCTCCCTCAGGAACTTTTGGGGGGCTATGCCCACATTTTAAAAATATATATATTTCTCTGTCACTGGTGGCTGGGGTCTTCTGACCTCAGGGCCTGTCTTGGACCATTTGGTCACCTCCGGTCTTGGTCCACGAAAGGAGAAAGGATAAGAGAGATCTTGGCTGGCTCCCAGCCTTCCTTCCGGGCGAGCATGTCCGTGTCCGCCGACAAGCTGGCCGAGGAGCTGCAGATCTTCGGCCTAGAATACGAGGAGTCTCTGTTGGAGAAATGTGAGTTCCTCACCTCTTCCCGGGGCCCAGCCTTGGTCCACTCTCTCGTCCAAGGTCCCACGCGCCTACAACCCAAAGGGGATCGCTTCCGAGTTTCGCTTCCCTTGACTGGAGTTCTTGGTGGCCGTGAGATAAAAACTAAACTGTGGAATACGAGGACTTTGAAATACTCCCGGGATACTGTTTGTATCCCAAATCAGAAACGAATATGAAGCACGCACGATTTTAAATCAATGCCAAGTTCCCGAAAGATGGAATGGGGCATGCTGGGTTGAGAGTAATCCCCCACCCCCCTCATCCCTGCTAACAAAACAAGTTATTTGGGGAGGGTTGAAATGTATCTTTTTATTCTTGGCTTCTTTACCAGCATACACCTCAAACTTCTCTTATCAAAGCTGATGGTCTTTGCAAATTTTGAATCCTTTGAGATGGATTTCTAAAATTGAATTTTAGTGAACTCAGATTCCCTGATGCAGTGCTACATCAGCTGGGTCCCTCAGTGGTCAAGCTTCAGGGCCGTGTAAGGAGTTACTTGAAGCAAAGTCTCAGGAAAGGTGGAAGTTCTCAGTTTTAGAATCTGAATGAACATGCCCCTACTTTAACCGCTCAACAGCACTATGAGCTTATTTCATATATAAAACCAGGATGCAGGGGCCCAGTGCGTTGGCTCACATCTGTAATCCTAGCACTCTGGGAACTTGAGCTCAGAAGTTTGAGACCATCCTGAGCAAGACTGAGACCCGTCTCTACTAGAAATATAAAAACTAGCTGAGCCTAATGGTGGGCGCCTGTATTCCCAGCTACTCCAGAGGATAAAGCAAGAAGATCGTTTGAGCCCAAACGAGGTTGGTTGTGAGCTGTAATAATCCCAAGGCACTCTAGCCTGGGGCAACAGAGTGAGACTCTTGTCTAAAAAAAAAAAAAAAAAAAAAACAAGGCGGCGCCTGTGGCTCAAAGGAGTAAGGCAACGGCCCCACATGCCAGAGGTGGCGGTATCAAACCCAGCCCTGGCCAAAAACTGCAAAAAAAAAAAAAAAAAGAAAGAAAGAAAGAAATACTGGAAAACTTATATCAGCTACCATTATTTCTCACCTACCCAAGTCTGTGGCATATACCTTGTCTTCTATTATATATTCTTAGCAAAATCCTAACCCTCTACTTGAGTCCTAAATTCCATTGTTTTTCACCTGCTTAAGGATACCAGTAATTCTCTCTTACTTATTTTGGTTTTTTGTCTGCAAAAATTCTTTTCCTACCAGCATAGAAATGTGGTTCCAACTTCTGTCTTTAAAATATTGTTTATCCCACTCTTCACTTCTCAATTATTTCATACCTCAATAGGATAGTCTATACTTACTATCTTCAAATTCTTCAAATGTTTCCTCCTTAAATCCTTTTCGGTATGCTCTTGTGTCCCCACCACTTCACTTTCCTCTTCACTTGCCATCACATCTCAGGCTTTGCCAATTCTTCCTCAAATGCCCTAGCAGGAGGGTCTACTTACAGCCTACAGGCTGCATGTGGATTATGTGAGGGCTGTTTTGCTTATCTCTGGTGTTGGATATCATGAAATTTATACACAGACCTTTTTTTACTCATCAGCTTTCATTAGTGTTTGTGTATTTAATGTGTGACCCAAGACAACTCCTTCTCTACTGTGAGGCAGAAAAAAAAAATGTTTGGACACCCCTGTGCCTAAGACATTCCAAGGCTTAGGTCAGGGATCTTTTTTTCTAGATACACTCACTCCCTTGGTGATTTCACCTGGTCTAATCGTTTTATATCCCTTGTGTTTACATCAGCACCATCCTTGACTTACCTTGTTTTTCTCACACTTCACATCCAGGCAGCTAATCTCACTGGCTTATCTTCAGGGTATATACTATCCGAAGTCCAACCACTTCTTGCCACCTCCACTGCCACCACTATGATCCAAGCCACCATTATCTCTCACCTGGACTTTGCTGTGATTCTTTTTGTTTTTATTTACTTATTTATTTATTTATTTTTTGAGACTGAGCCTCAAGCTCTCCCCCTGGGTAGAGTGCTATGGCATCACAGCTCACAGCAACCTGCAACTCCTGGGCTCAAGCGAGTCTCCTGCCTCTGCCTCCCAAATAGCTGAGACCACAGGCGCCCACCACAATGCCCAGCTACTTTTTGGTTGCAGCCGTCATTGCTGTTTGGCAGGCCCAGGCT